TCCAAAGTGGCTGTAGCATTTTGCATTCCCACCAGCAGTGAAGGAGAGGTCCTGTAGCTCTACGTCCTCACAAGCATTTGGTATTGTCAGTGTTCTGGACTTGGGCCATTCTAACAAGTGTATAGTGGTATCTGGTTTTTTTCCTTGTCATTGTTATTGAAATACAATTGAGGTACAGTGTTATCTTAGTTGTTGTTCTATTGTGCATTTCCCTGATAACGTATGACAGAAGCATGTTTCATGTGCTTACTGCCAAGTGTTGATCTTCTTTGGAGAAGTGTGTGTTAAGGTCTTTTGCCCATTTTTTAGTCAGGTCGTTTGTTTTCTTATTGTTGAATCTTAAGGGTTCATTGTACATTTGGGTTAATAGTCCTTTATCAGATGTGTCTTCTGCAAACATTTTCTCCTGTTCTGTGGCTTGTCTTTTCATTATCTTGCCAATATCTTTCACAGAGCAGAAAATTGTAATTTTAGTGAAGCTTCACTTATCAGTTCTTTCTTTCATGGATCGTGCCTTTGGTATTGTGTCTAAAATGTCATTGCTGGGCCCCTGAGTGGCTCAGTCGGTTACGCATCTGACTTCAGCTTAGGTCAGGATCCTGGGGTCCTGGGATCGAGTCCTGCATCAGGCTCCCTGCTCGGTGAGGAGTCTGCTTCTCCCTCTGCCCATCCTACTGCTCCTGCTCAAAGGTAACATGCTGTCTCTCTCACACACACACAAAAATAAATAAAATCTTAAAAAAAAAAAACAAAAAACTGGGGCGCCTGGGTGGCTCAGTTGGTTAAGCGACTGCCTTCAGCTCAGGTCATGATCCCGGAGTCCCGGGATCGAGTTCCGCATCGGGCTCTCAGCTCCATGGGGAGTCTGCTTGTCCCTCTGACCTTCTCCCCTCTCATGCTCTCTCTCTCTCACTCTCTCTCTCAAATAAATAAATAAAAATCTTTAAAAAAAATAAAAATTAAAAAACTAAAAAAAAAAAACAAAACCCCAAAACTAAAATAAAATGTCATTGCCAAGCCCAAGGTCATCAGGTTTTTGTCCTTTGTTATCTTTTATGATTTTAATAGTGTGTTTTATATTCAGGTCTATGATTCATTTCAAGTTATTTTTTGTGAATTAGAGGAGTGAGGTCTTTGTCTGGACTCCTATTTTTGCACGTGGATGTCCAGTTTTTCCTGCACTGCTTGTTAAAAAGAGTATCTTTCCCTTCGTTATGTTTCTTTTGCTCCTTTGTCCAAGATGACTTGACTCTGTTTATGTGGGTCTGTTTCTGGGCTCTCTGTGCTGCTTCTTTGATCTGTCTCTTCTTTCATCAGTACCACACTGTCTTGACCACTACAGCTTTATAGTAAGTCCTGAAGTCAGGTAGCGTCAGGCCTCTGACTTTGTTCTTCTTCTTTAACATAATATGTTGGCTGTTCTGAGTTGGTTCTTTTCTGTAATCTCCATTTTTCTGCTAATAATTCCTGTCCATTCACTCATCGGGGAAATTGTTCTTTATAATTACTTGAATGCGTTTTCTTTCATTTTTCTTTTTTTGAACATACTTAAATAGCTGCTTTAAAGTTTTTGTCTGATATGTTCAACATCTGTGCCATTCTGGGCCAATTTCTATAAACCGCTTTTTTTTTTTTTTCCAGTTGACTGTGGGTCCTATATTCCTGCTTCTTTGCGTGTCTAATAATTTTTCTGTTTGTGTGCTCAACACTGTAAGTGATATGTGGTGGAGACTCCGCACTCTAATCTTTTGCTCTGAAGGATATTTACTTTTGTTCTTACAGGCAGGTAGTTCATTTACTGGCTGTTCACCTTGAACTTGTGGCAGCTTGGCTTTATGTTCTGTCAGGGCAGATACGTGGAAAGCCCAGGGTCCTTCCCAGGCTCCTCTGATGTGGTAGGGCTCACCTTCTGAACTCCGCCTCTCCTTCAGGTCACAGAGAGCTCCGTCTCTAGCATTGTTCCATTGTGGGCCCTACCCGAACATGTGACCCTTATTCCTGAAGCAAGACCACTGTGGCATCCCAGCCAGTGCTGGGTTGTCAGGTGGTATATTGGCTTGGGCCGGCTGGACCCAGGGTCACAGCTGATCTCCTGTATCTGTTCCATCTCACCCTGTTGTAGTCCCTGTCCGGTCAACCTCATGTGGTGTCCTGAGCACCCACAGCCCAGCTCTCACACAAGGCCTGATGGGGAACCCAGATGCGGCTTTCAGTCCCTCCCCCAGTTCCCTCCATGCTGCTGGCTCACCCCACAAATCTAGCCACTCCAGCTGCCTCCACACTCTGGTCTCTGCCTCTTCAGCTTCATGTGGCCTCTGTGCACACCTAGATTTCATGGCTGGGACATGTCCCTGGGCAGGTTGCTGCCAGAGTGTGAGGCTCACCCCATCAGCTTCCCCTCCCCTCCTGCTGTCCACAGCCCGCCCACATGAGGTTGCTTGGTATCTTTTGTCCAGTTTGATGGTGGTCTATAGCATGAGGACTGGTCTGGTACCAGTTACTCCACCATGGCCACATTCCTGTTGCTCTTGGTTCATGAATGATATGCCCGTTTGTCTCTAGAACTGAGAGTCATAGCTCTTCACTGCGAATTGTACCCTTTGTCATTAAGTATTACCATACTTACCAATGTCTATCTTCTCGCTTTTTCCTTTGAATTCAGTGTCTCCTGTTACTGATACTGGACTCCTGTCTCTGTTGTCCGCACTCTTCTGGTACATCTTTGCCAGTCAATCTTTCTGTGTCTCTCTTACATGTAGCACAGATCTGGATTTAACTTTGGAATCTAATTATAAATCTGTTGAGTATATTTATGGAAAAATACAAGGGCAGATACTAGGAAAACATGGCATCTAGTGTCAGGGTTGGGGAAGAAAGTCATGTTGTTTTTGTCATTACTCACAGTGGATTGTCAGATAATCTCTCAAGTATGAGGTTGACTATTGTATGTTATGCCCCAAATGACAAAAGATGAGCAAAGCAGTGAATTTAACAAACAGCCCATCTCACTATGCTCCCATATTTTGGTTATTTACATAACTGGTTCTGTAGCCATAATCCATGTATTGTTTTAGACCTAATCCCACTGGTAAGTAGATTCCTTGCTTTTGGCAGATCATCTACTAAAGTTCTCTGGTTATCTCTCGTGACACTGGAGTTAATCTTCCAGTCCTTCAAGAAGAGCTTACGGGAGCAAATTCTTTAAGTTCTTACATGTTCAAAAATGCTTGTCCATTGTTTTTATACTTGAGCAGCAGTTTGGCTGGATATAAAATTCTTGGACCATGCCTGTCTTTGCAGCCTCTGCTGTCTTCTGCCACAGATGTGGCTGTGGAACATTTTGAGGACAGCCGAACTCTACCTCACAATTGACATGCTCTTTTTCTGACTACCAAAAGGACTTTTTAAGCTGTCAAGTCCAGTGATTTTCCTAAGGTGTATCTTAAAATTGACCATCCTGTAGCCTGTCTTTGGATCTGGACCATAAGGCTTCAGTTTTTCTAAAAATTACAATTGATTTTCTAAACCACTGAATGTTAGAGCACCTCTGCCTTTCTTCCATGTCTGCTGTTTTCTCTCCAGTCCATTGTAACTCTTTGTTTTCCCTTTCACTTTGCTCGCTTTGTATCATTCCTGTTCTTACTGTCTTGTTCCAGTCTCCTGCCATTTCCCGTTACCCTCCATTTCTTTGAGGTCTTCCTCTTCTTGCCTGAGCTCTGTCAGTTCAGTTTTCCTCCTCTGTGTTTTGCTTCATGTTCTTGTTTTATGGAGATAACTGCTTCATGAGGTTTTATTTTATAAAATCATGGTAAAAGAAATCCTTGGTGACAATTTCTGTTGCTTCCAAGGAATATCGCAAATGGCTTTTCTGTGTTTCTTCCTTTTCCCATGTGTTATCTTTGCATAGGTGAGTGATTCTTAACCAAAAACACCATGGCACCATGGGGAAGTGAACTAGGAGAAAACGGTGTGCTGGTAAGGGACAGCAAAGGCAACTTTAGGTCAATAAGAGCTTGTGGTACACCCAGAATCAGTAGAAGGAAGTGGCTACTGTGTATTGTCACAATGACGGCAAAGTGCCTTTGTCATTTAGTGTCCATCGCAATGGACACAATGGAAATGCCAGATTGCAATGCATGAGACAGTGCCATGTAACCACGAATAGCTGTGACCACAAAAGCAGCTCTGATTCCCTACCTGCTGGGAGGGAGGCACGTGTCGGTAAGGGGTCATCACCCAGCACTGACTATGGGAGCACTCAGTGTCCAGAAAGAGGTAGGCTCCCAGTGTCTCCGTGCAGATAGAACATGCCTGTGTACCTCCATGTTTTGTTTTGCCTGCCCTCCACTCAGAACCAAGCTAGGGACTAAGGTTTTGGCCATGGCCAGTGTGGCAGGCCCTGCAGGAGCTCCTGCATTCTGCACCTTCACTGTTGTCCCCCCCCCCCTCGCAAGGTCCTGCCTGTGCCCACTGGCTCTCCACTTGGTGGCTTGTCAGCCCTGTCGCTGAAGATGGACTTGGTGTCTCTCATCCTCCTCATGCTGTGGGTAGGCATGAGTTTATGCTGCTCTCAAGCTGGAGATACATCTTGCTTGGACGCCAGAGTGCAGTGTATTTCTGTGATGAGGAAACCTAGGACCCAGCCCACTGAGGTCTTTCCTGAAGGCCTGACAGGCAGAGAAATAGAGCAGCCCTTGAGTTCCTCTCAGGCCTTGTGTAGGGGAACAGCTCTGCGGGACCTCAGGGGCTCTCTGAGAGAAGGGCCTGACGTCTTACGCAAGGGCTTGGCCAAGGGCAGCAGTTAGGCTGCTCCCCTCAGTGGGTCTGTGCCTGGCTCCTGGGATGTAGGCGGTAAGTTTGCAGGAGCTTTCGGCCATCTTGGCAGCTTGCATTTCCCTCCTTGTTCTGCCTGCCACACCAGGGCTGCCCACAGGTGGGAGACCCTGGGACAAGTCTTAAAAGCCACTTTGTGGTTCTCTTTGCTGCTCTTGGTCTTCTAGGTGTGCAGAACTCATGAACTCACGAATCCTGGGATCGCTGATGTCAAGATCCGGCCAGACCGCAAGATCCTGGCCACTGCGGGCTGGGACCACCGGGTCCGAGTGTTTCACTGGCGGACGATGAAGCCACTGGCCGTACTATCCTTCCACAGTGCCACCGTCCACTGTGTGGCCTTTGCCGCAGATGGCTTGCTGGCCGCAGGATCTGGGGATCAGCGGATCAGCATCTGGTCCCTCTACCCGACCCACAGTGACATGTCTGCTCCCTTGTTGGGCCACGCAGAGGGCAGGGAGGTGGGGGCCCATGCTGTGGCCTGACCCAGGCATGTGGAACCTCAGGACCCCTGCAACAGCCAGCCGCAGTTCCCCTCCTCCAGTTACAAGAGGTACTTGGTCTGTGGGGTCTTTGTTTTCCGCTCAAGGTGCGTGTTTCCTTTTGTGAAATACAGCACCTATACGACAGTGACTCTACAGCTTACAAGAGTAACTGGGCCAGACGCCTGGGCAGCTGTGGCCCAGGTGAGAGACCAACCTGGGCCTGCTTTACAATAAACCTCTAGATGCAAACCCCCAGGCTCAAGGTACAGATTCTCCAAGGTGACATCCTGGATTCCCCCTTCGGGTCAGCTCTGAGAGCTCTCCTCAGACCTTCTGTTGGGCAGGGCAATTGACCCCTGTCCACTGGGGGACAGTGAATGTGGCCCCCAGGTCCTGCGGACTCCATTGGCTCCTCACCCTGAGGCTGGCCAGGAGCTCCCAATGCTCAGGGCTGAAGCCAGAACCAGTAGAAAGAAGTGACCAGACCCCTTGGGGAAGAAAGGCAGGAGGAGGATGGGCTGTGGGTGAGGGCAGAGGCAGAGAGACCTTGTGGCTCAGGGGCAGGCCAAGCGCGGGATCCGTGGGAGGAAGCACCGCCCCCAAAAGAGAAAGACCAAAGACGGCAAGGTGCTGTGGGTGGAAAGTATGGCAGAATTAAGTGCGGCCGACACAGCCACCAACGACACAGAGCCAGCACTGTGCACCCGGGGCAACGGGATGAACAGCCAAAGCAGCTCGTGTGTCCAGAGTCTTCTTACCACGCCCAGCCGTCAGGGCCTCTTTTAAAGCTGGGCTGTTGGTTGGGAAGGAATAGGACCCTGGAAATTGGGGTGGGGGCTGTGAGCAGTCACTGAGGAAGCTGGGGGGCCTCCAACCCCTTTGTTCCGCTGCCTTTTTTGCCAGAAGAGCCCCCTTCAGTCTGCCTGAAGAGGTCAGTCTTCCTTTACCTGAAGGACCGGAATGGCTCCCCCGGGGGCGGGGTCCCTGTGGGACACTCCTGACCACCTCCCCCCACACTGGCTTTGCTTATAACTAGACTCAGGCCCCAGGAGGCCCCAAAGGGTGAGGTACGAAGTGTGGTCCGTGATGAGGTGGCTACGCTCCAGAAGAACTTCATGCAGATAGAAATCTGGAGAACATGTGTGGGATCCAGGTGGCAGGGATATGAAACGCATGAAGCCAGATCCATGGAAACAGGACCACTCACAGAGGGTCTGGGCTTGCTGCAGCCCGAGGACTAAGAAAGGGCCCCAGGGTATGGTTGCTTGGTTGAAACCTGGACCACAGGGCAGGTTCACTGAGGACAGTTAACTGCCAGAGCCACCTCAGTGTGCTGCAGAGGGAGTGAGCCGTGGGGTCGGGGGGATTGTGGTATTTGAGGGGACTCAACACATAGGCACTGCCAACCCTCCACAAAAGCCTTTCCCCGTGACCTTGAGGAGTACATCTGCAAGGGGAGCCTGGCATCCTTGAAGAGCTCTGTGGTTTCTCCTCTCTGCAGGTCGGCTGGAGCCGCTGCCATGGAACGAGGATCTTGAAACACAGTGGAGTCACTGGGTCTCCCGAGTGGCAAGGCCTAGCAGTGGCCTTAACTGCCCAAGACGGAGTAGACGTGGTTGGGTGGTGAGCAGCCACAGCCACCAGCAGCCAGACTGGCGGAGATGCGGGCGTGGGCTGGTGACCTTGGGGTCCTAGGAGTGCAGGTGATAGCCGGATCAGGTTTAGCTTGAGCGGAAGCGTTCTGGATTGAGCCAACAGATATGTGACCGGGGCCACCAAAATAGAGTCACAACCCCTTCAGTCACCGCCCAGGCCCCTTGAGGAAAGACCCCACCACACTGCAGAAAACGTATACTGCTGATCTTCTGCCCAGCCTCCCCAGGGACATGGCCACTCCCTAGGGGACGGTATACCGTTGGAGCTCCCGGAATGCCCATTCTGGGGACTGGCCTACTACCCCATTGGACCCCATTGGCTGGAGGTGCTGGCGAGTGTCCTCCAGCACCCCTGGGAGGGGCCACGCTGGCCCCCGAGTATCCTGTGGCCACGTCACTGGATGTTGGGAAGACACATCCAGAAGGATCTGCGCACGACAAATGTCAGAAGGAAGGGCTTTGTTTAGGCTGCAGGCACTTGAACCTCATGGACGTGAGGAAAACTGCCAAGTCAGCCACATTTGGGGTGCTCCTCACAGGGAGGCTGTAGGGTCAGAGACAGTGAAGAGGGGCCTCACCAAGCCAGAGCCCCACGTGGCTCCCCCAAGAGGCCGTGTGCTGAGGGTGTTCTGGAACCCAGCTGTAGTTGGCTCAGTGCCTTTTCTCATCTCCCTCTTCTCTCTGCTGACCCCACCAAAGGCAGTTGGGGTGCTGGTTGTGGGGGCTCATTTTGGAAGGTGAGCCTCTGCAAATCCCATCTGTGGCCGGGCAGCCATGGGCTGGTGCCCAACGGCAAAGAATGATCCGAAGAGTCTCCAAGCATCCTTGGCCTCCTTGTTAGAGCACAGCTGTGAGCACAGAGTGAGTGGTGACAACATCCAGTGCTCGAGAGCACTTTCTGGAGAGTGTGCTGCGCTGCAGGAGGTCACGGAGGGGGAGGGGCACGGCTGTCTGCCTGTGGGGCGGGAGGGGAGATGTGAGTCTCCTCAGTTACTTTGCACACCCTTCCAGCAGCCCTGCCACAACCCACTGCCGAGGCTGGGAGGCCCCTGTGGGGGTGCCAGCCCCCTGCCTCAGCTCTGACTCCGAGGTGCTGGGCGCGGGGCTGCTGCCGCCTCGAGAGGCTTCGAAACCCGATGGCTGAGAAAGTGGTGCCCCCACCCCTGCGTAGGCCTGTGTCATCAGCTCATCAAGAATCTTGGTGACTCGCCCTCTGGTAGAATCACCGCATTTACAAAAACAGCCACAGAAGTGTGTGTTCCAGACAAAGGGACAGGGCACTGCAAGTCGGCGTGAGGTTTATTAAACCCAGAGATGCTTCCAGAATGTCTGAGGTGAGACTACGGGCGCCTTGCCCCTGGAGATGGTAGGGAGGTGGTGTTGGCAGACACGAACCCAGAGTCCATATCCGGCCCTCACCTTCGTGTTGAAGGCACAAGCAAAGATGCGTGGAGGATCGCAGGTGACTGACTCCTTACAGAGGTCATGCGCTGGTGAGCAGTATCTCAGGGACATCTTGTGGCCAAATCGTGGCATACGGGAGGCCAAATTGGGTCGGCAGAGCTTTCCTAGTCCTGTGTGTCTGATGGGGCTGTGTGGCTAAGGCAAGCAGTTTCCAAGGCCACGCAGGCCTTCTGGATGTCCTGTGGAAAGACTGGTGGCCAGGATTTGGATCTGCTCAGCCGAGCCCCCTGGAATTGCAGCGGCACCGACTTCCTAGAAACACTACTGTGTGAAACAGTGGGGCCCTCTTCTGTGCCCGCTGTGGGGCCCACAGTTTTGCACAACATGGCCTCCATCAGCAGGATCTGAGGCATTAGCAAATCACCACAGACCCGACCAGTCTCAAACTCCCCAGGGCGTAAGAAGAAACAGGGGCCCCGATCGGACACCCAGCCTGGGGAGGGTACTTCCTGTTTGCAAAGCTTCAGATGGTTCTTGTCATGTTTCCAGGGCTGAGTCATTCCTCAGACCTGACCTGGTGTTGGGGGCTGGCTGTGCCGCGAGACCCAGGTGTGCAGGGGCCCTGCCATCTTCCAAGAGCTGTGTGAACCCCTTGCTGGAAGGGCTCAAGCCGATCTCCCTGAGCTTCCAGGATGAGCTGCAGAGTGGGCAGAGCACTGTGCCTGCTGCTGTCCCACAGTACAGGCAGGTGCTCTACGAGGAGGAGCCTCTGTGTGGAACCAAGGTTGCCCTTTACCAGAAGGGCGCATACACTCTCAGGGTCGGTCCCTTTGATGTAAATTTAGGGCCCTGAATGTTCTGGGATTGGCCTTTTTTTCCCCTTCGCATGGATGCTCATAGTGGCTTTATTCCTAAGAGTGCCAAACCAGAAACAACCCAAATGGGTTGACAGGTGAATGGACAGGGAAGCAAACCATGGTAAATATGTACGGTGTAGTCCCACCAGCCAGGAAGAGGAGCCTGGATGGATCCAGAAGAACCGGGGTGGGGGGAAGCCACAGTCTTGCCATGGTCCTTACAGGCCAGAAAGCTCAGCGTAACCCAGATCTCCTGCAGGCCGTGCGAGGTGTCTGTGCAGGTGGGGCTCCATGAGGTGAAGGCTGCTCTGGGCATGGCCTCAGGCAGAGGCGGTAAGAGGCCTCCCACACCCCCTGATAGAGTTTTCTCCACTTTTCACTTCACCACTATTCAGAAAGGCCTGCTTTTCCTTAAAGATCTTTCCACATGCCTCCTGCCCGTCAGTAAAACTTGTCCTTGGAAGTCCAGTTACTGCTGGTGTTCCTCCACCTGTTAAACAGACAAAAGAATGAGAGCAGAGCTTGGGCCAGGCCTCCTGGCCTTCCCTTCAGGCCATGTGGGAAGCCCCACTCCCTCCTGGTCACCCCCCTGCAGGCCAATAGCAACCGCGGTTGCTGACAGGTGGCGTCTGCCTGTCCCCATGGTACCTCAGGGGCCGGGCCGAGGGTGGGGAGGCAGCATCCAAGCATCTCATGAGCATCTCAGGCCGCACGGCCGGCCGTGTGCCCTCACGTCAGATGCTTTCAGCAAGACCCCCACCCCCCACCCCAGGCCCAGCAGCAACTCTGCACTCCCAGCCACTTCTGTCCTTGGCAGCCGGATGGTTTTGCAAAATCGGCCCTGGGATTTTCTGCCCAGTTCCTAAGTGCCTTTCCTAGCTACTTGCGCTGTTCACTGAGCAACCTTTCTCATTCAGGAGCCACTTGAATTTAGCACAATCCACAGTGGCCAAACCGTGGTGATTCTGCAGCACTGACATCAATGTGATCATCCAGGGTGATGAGGAAGGCTGTGGCTCAGGTGCCCGGGGGCAGGAAATGCGCCAGGCAGAGACCTGAGGTTCCCCAGGCGAGTGATGGGGGACCCATTGGCCAAGCATCTCTCATCAGGTGTCCTCCCCCTCAGCAAGACGCTTTCTAGTCCAAACTATCCATGGAGAGAGGCTCACCAGTCTCAAAGAATTCTTCGTTAATACTTAGTGGAGGGGTGCCTGGGTGGCTCAGTCGGTTGAGCGTCTGCCTTCAGCTCAGGTCATGATCCCAGCGTCCTGGGATCGAGTCCCATATCAGGCTCCTTGCTCAGCGGGAACCTGGTTCTCCCTCTCCTGCTCCC